CCCTAAACCCTAAACCCATGGCCTGGGTTGGAGTGACTGAACGCATCGCCACCGGGGGTGCAGCGCTCTTCTGAGGGCTCCAGGAGCGCTCCTATGAGGAGGGGAGGTGGGTTGAGGAGTTTAGAGTTGAGGAGTTTAGGGTTGAGGGTTTAGGGTTTAGGGTTTAGGAGTTTAGGGTTGAGGGTTTAGGGCTTAAGGTTTAGGGTTTAGGATTTGGGATTCGGGATTTAGGGTTTTATGGCTTCGGTTCGGGTTTCGGGGGCTTTAGGCTTCGTCATGAAGGCTCAAGGTTTCAGAGTTATGGGGCTTGTAATGCTTCATGTGCTAGGAGTTTAGAGTGCAGAGCTTCGCGTTGCAGGGTCTGGGGCTCTGGGGGCTAAACCCTAAACCCTAAACCCTAAACCCCTAAACCCTAAACCCTAAACCCTTAACCCTAAACCCTAAACCCCTAAACCCCTAAACCCCTAAACCCTAAACCCTTTGGGCTTCTGGGTTCGCCCAGAACCAAGAGGCTCCATCCTGGCGTAGCGGCGGATGGACGAAATGCAGCCGCATCGCAGTCTTCCCTTTAAGGCTTAGAGTTTAGGGTTTCAGCCGCATCGCAGTCTTCCCTTTAGGGCCTTGGGTTTTCGGAGTTTAGGGCTTAGGGTTCCCTCGCAGTCTTCCCTTTAGGGTTTAGGTGTTTAGGGGTTTAGGGTTCCGGGGTTTAAGGGTTTAGGGGTAGGGGTTTAGGGTTTAGGTTTTAGGAGTTTAGGGTTTTGGGGTTCCCCTAGATGCAGCAGGTGACCTTTTGCTGCCTCTTAGACCAAAACCTCCACGACACCACGACTGCTTGAATTAAAAGAATACTATTCCCGGTCCTGAAACGCAATGGGCTTTGGGACTTTAGCTTAGGGCCGGCTTGTGATTGGGTTGCAGGCTGTATGGGTGCAGTCGATCCTCCCAGACATCTAGCGATTGAGAGCTGCACGCCAGCTGCGAGGTGTAGGTGCTACGAATGGGTACCAACATGGTTCGACAACCGGGGATAAACTCAGAACGCCTCTCAAACCCAAGCTATAAAATCCTATAAATCACCCAGACCTCAACCCCTCGACCCTCATACTCTTCAACCGAAATCTCCCTGGGCCTTATAGCCAATAAACACTACTCCTAAACTGCATATCAATCCTGAAGGCCCACTGGAGCAGCTTCGCTCCATGCCCCCTTGATCCAAAAAATTGCAATTTATGTCCTTTTTTGGGCTTTTTCATGTTCGGGCCTGGGGTTTGCTACTGAGGGTTTACGGTTTCGGTGCTGCTGAGGTCGGGCTTCAGGTTCGGGTTTTCGTAAAATACAGGGTTTTCATGAATTTACCTAGAGCGTCTCCATTGTAGTTCATTTTGGGGGGTACCTCATAAAATCCTGAACGTAGAACTGGTTAAACAAAAAAAGGACCTACAATGGAGACTATAGGTAACACCTAAATGCAACTGCCATATGACATACCGCAGCTCGTAACATGCCATACTCCGGCTTACCACGACAGAGACTTTGCTACGACTGACGAAAAGGGCATTCGAGCCTTACTGTTCCAGGGGCCGTTGTGATTTTCTGTGCACGGGGTTTTATATGAGAGCATAGACACAAGATGCGCTAATATGCTGCATGACACGGCTGCGTACAAGGCAGAGCTAGGCTACACTGCACCATCACGCGAGTTAGGCGAAGATGGTTCTGACGAGCGGACTGACTCATGATCGCACACAGTGATGGGATGAAACTATAAGCGTCGCATGTCACAGCATAACAAACGGTGCTACATTCTACTGGAGCGAGAGTACATAACGCCATGAGCAATACTGCTCCATTGCCGTTCTCAGAGTGGTGCTACGAAGCATTCACATTGCTAGCAACAAGAAGGATAGCAAATGTTGAGCGACCTCCATATACCAGGAGTCACATCATAGGGCAGCCAGTCTAAGTGCAGCATGAGTGTGGCTCTTCGGTTACTGTGTATACACCCACGTCAGTAGATAGCATACCAGCCGGAATGAACTGCAGATGAAACAGCGAAGTCCAGGCTGTGCTGCCCGTCTCGGACATTTTCAGGTGGGTAGTTGCCGATATAGGAGCTTTATAGAAGGTCTATATACCTTATGGAAGCCTTATAGAAGCCCTATGTACCCTAAACTCCCCACCTGTAGTTTCCTTTAATCCCGGTCCTCCCAACGATGTCAAGCAAGAGACCCGTCAACTGCTGTGCAGATACTTGGCAAGCTTGCAAAAACGTCGATCTACAAGTAGCTCAGTGGAACGAAAGCAACCGAACATCGTCAGTGATCGCCATAATATAGAAACTTAAATAATTGCCACGATTATCTTTTTAAGGGTTCCTGACCCCCAAAACCCTAAACCCTTAAGGAACCCTTTAAAGGAGACCCGCAACCCTAAACCCTAAAACCCTAAACTAACTGCAGCCTACCTCCAAAGGCTGAACTCTGTCACACCTTTGCCGCCGCACATACCTCGGATCATCCTTTGCGCTTGCTTTCGGACGTCCAGCTCCCTGCTGCAAGGGGATTTAGGGACCTTAAACCCTCAAGCCCTAAAGCCTAGCTTAAGCTTTAGAAACCACCTGGAGAAGGTCAACACCACCAACATCCTACAGCGTGTTACGGGTAGAAACCTGTGCTATACACTACGCCTCTAACCCATTCCACGTCTCCAAACGATGTCTCCATTGTAGTTCCCTTTGGGGGATACCTTATAAAATCCTTAACATATGATTGGTTAACCCAAAAAAGGCACTACAATGGAGACTATAAGTAGACTAGCTTAGCTTGCTCATCAAGCCCCAAATCCTTAATCCTAAGCTCGAAAACCCTGGGACGTATTTTTTAACCTTAGGCCGTGCACCCTGATTAATCGCCTCCCATAACGAGAAGCTGCCCAAAAAGAACGGCACGCATCATTCAGCACAATATAAAATATCATGTCAGCACAATGTACAATAGAGTGATATGATACGATGCTGTTTTCGAACTACTGGTTTTACCGTCTGCGGTAGTGCCTGGTACAAGTTGTGGCACTTGACATCAATTGATTCTACTGCATTCTTGCATTCTCCACCAACCGCTTTATGGCGTGGCCACATCGCTGCTAGGATATGATGGGTTGAATCTGAATGCGGCAATCCGAACGTCCTGCACAAAGCGAGATACTTCGTCTTTAGGATATTCACGCACCGAGGGATTGCAAACAGCATAGATTCTATGACACTCCAGGACTTAACTTGTCCCTAAACTCTAAACCCTAAATCCCCCTGAACCCTAAACTAGCGAAGTACACAGCATTGCAGATTTGTGATCCCACAGCCTCTCCAAAAGTGACTGAGCCTGTTGGGATTCCGGTCTGAACGGGCTCTACGTAGATTCACTGGATTCATGCTGGCTCCCAAATCTAAGGGTTTAGGGTTTAGGGTTTAGGGTGTAGGGTGTAGGGTTTAGGGTTCAGGCTTTAAGATTCCCTGCTGAGTCCTTCTTCTGGTACACTTGCTGTCACCAGCAGGATTGATAGTCGAAGAACATTCCATTCCGTAAGTCATGCCATCTCACAACCACCACTTAAAGGATCATGGGACTTAGTAACTGAGGCTATAATCAAGGTAACTATACTTATAACCTCAATTAGGAAACTTACAACCTTACTTCCTAAGTCCCATGATCCTCCAAGCAGCATCACCTTAAACCTTCTCTCATTCTCATGACTCAAGCTGCAGCAGCGTGAAACGTGTGCCGTAGGATGGCATCGAGCTTGGGCCTCTTGGGTTGAGAATCTGCACTCTAGTCCCTAGCTGTCACTAGTTCATGGTTGGGGTAGTATTAAACATTTAATTGTATGTGCCCTATTGGGTTTTAGTACCCTTGAAAATTTAAAATGTTACCCAACTATGACACTTACTAAGTCCCATGATCCTCCAAGTACAACATGCAAAAAGCACATTGACAGCATGGCTCGCACGAGCATCTGTGCTCGCCATATTGATGGCAAAACTAGGAAAACCGAAGATGAACAGGCCATGGCTACGACAAAAAAGCCGCAGCATAATAATAGTTAGAACCATGATAAAACAAGTTGTCAGGTTTCAGCTTTCGGGGCTTCGACGTCAGGAAGCAAGCTTAACCTGAAGGCCAAGATTTTGTTGAGCCTACACCCTGATTTATACCGGTAAACAGACTCATGTTGAGAGTCATAATGGCAAGTCGCCATTTGCTTTCCATATCATGAGGGCTTCGCCGAAAGTAGACGTACCGTCTTGGTTCCAGGACCCAACATGCTACTGACTGCTGTTGCTTGCTCGCTTGCAGGTCTAGGAAGCAGCTTCGATCATGCTTATCATTTGTACTGGCCCACCCCAAGCCGGCCTCTAAAATCCCTTCTCCCGGTCCTCAACCCATCATCCCAAAGACGAGCCAAGTAGCTCGAATATCTGAACCCTACTTTCTCCGAGCTGCTCCCATAGGAGCTGTCGAGCTCAATAGCCCGACGTGTCTTTGCGGGAGCAGCGTGAGAGGTGAGACCACCAGACGAACGAAACACTGTCTCAGAGGCTGAGTACCCTAGCCCAAAAAAGTTTTGAATTATAGTAAGATGAAAAGAGCCCCAAAATGGTTAACCTTTTGAATTATAGTAGGATGATAAGAGCCCAAAAAAAGCTAACCTTTTGAATTATAGTGGGATTATAAGAGCCCCAAAAGGTTAAAGGTTACCTACTCCCTAAACCCTAAACCCTATTAGTAACCCTTTAAAGGAACCCTACTTGGAGGATCATGGGACTTAGTAAGTAAGGTTATAAGTCCCCTAATTGGGGTTATAAGTATAGTTACCCCAACTATAACCCTACTTACTAAGTCCCATGATCCTTTAAGTACGCCCCAAAAGGTTAAAGGTTACCTACTCAGCCCCTGAGCTGTGG